CGGGTCACTAAAGGTTAGTTGGTGATATGAAAACTGATAAGTTTGTACGATCTTATTAAAAAATTTTTTATATATGAGTTGTAAGATGACAAAAATTCAAAAATAAATTGTTTTTTTATTAAAAAAATTTTTTTTAAAAAAAAATTAAAATTCGGGTCGGCGGGTCACAAGAGGCCAGTTGGTGATATGAAAACCGACAATATAAGTTTGTATGGCCTAATATGTAAATTCCCTTAATTCATTCTTGGAAAGCCACTCTATAAGATAATTATTACCAATATCGCCTTTGATCGCATATAGATCAGCTAAATTAGACATATTTTTTATAAATGATTCACAGTCATTATTTAATTCTTGTGCCTTTCTTTTTACACTTTTCATAATAAAATTCGTTATGCTTTGTTTCAATGTCATCAACCTTTATTCAATCTTTTCAGTGTTATCATATAATATCTTTAATTTAGGTTTGATAAAAGAAAAAAATGATGTAATACTGCTTAGAGCCTCAATAAGTTTGCTAATTATTTCGCCGAGTCGTTTAAGTTCAATTACTTTCAAATATAGCGTTTTAACGATTTCATCTAGTTTTTTGAAATCAACAATAATGAGTCGGTGAAGTTTAAGTAAAATGGTTGTATATTGATGGGATCTGTTTGTTTCTGAGATAGTAGCCTCAATAATGTCCAGAAAGTATTTAAGTTCGAAATCATATCTGTACGCAAAATTCTGAATTACTACAATTAGATCTTTTGCAAATGGTAAAATAAGTTTCTTATAAACGTAAATATATTTTACGACTTCTCTATGAATTTTGAACGATTCCTTATTAGACAAATTCTAACTCAAACCTATACGTAACCTAACTTGGACCCCAAGCAACCTAAACGAAGCAGGTGACGACTTCTTACGAATATAGTTTAATTAAAGTGACGGTACCATCTAAGTATAGTCCTGCACAATCCTTACGACACATACCCTATCCGACAACTATTACTATATACAAACCCAGCCTGTGCAACATACTTATTTGCGCGGGTAACAAAAACCAAAAAAGGAATCAAATTTTGTAAATAAACCAAGTGCGTAAAAATAGAAGTTTAGGATTAAGACGTTAGGGTTGTGAGCTTTAGCGATAAGTTGGGGTTTTTTATATGTAAAATTTCATCCCCGTTATTTTTTATTAGTCAACCAAGGTCGATTTAAACACTAGATTTTGAGTATTTTCGCTTTCTTTTCTTTTTTTCTTCTTCGGATTCTATGTCGGGATGATCCGGAATACCAGAAATTTGTGTTCTCTGATTGGCCATTTCCTTTTTAGAGGTTTGTATTACCCGCACAAATAAGTGGATGCAAAGCTCTCCCTAGTCGTAAGCCAGACTAAGCCAGTGCGAGTTTATTCACTGATAATCTGAATAAGTTGAAGTTGCAATGAAAAATTTATGTAAATAATAAAATCAGAATGATAACTATATGTATATAATATGGAATAAATATTTGTCGTTGATCAGGTTTTAATTGTGGTCTAGTTGTAAACAAAAAGCCTTGCAGTTTTTACTTTGCTTAGCGAAAAGGCTATAAATAATTTTCTTTTGCAAAATTTATGAAATAATAATGAACGAACAAATTATAGAGATTCCAAGTGAAAAAAAAATAACAAAGATTGTGTGTTCTCCAAAATTAAAATATATTGCAGCTTGGAGCGATGAAGACATGTCAGCTTGCATATTCTCTATTGAAGATCAAATGAATCTGAAATATGAAGGTTGCTATTCACTAAAAGAACAAATCAAACATGGTCTTTCAAAAGAAATCGAATATTTGGATTTTTTAAATGCTGAAAAATATGATCTAAAACTATCAGATCAAAGACATATTACGTTGATGCCTTATAATGATGAAGGTCTCATGCATGCAGGTTAGGCATCAGTATAGTTTAAGCAACCTAAGCAATTCGATGTTGCTAAAGGAAAAACGGATTTTTGCTTTAAATTTATGACTTAACGGATTGATTCTATAAATTTTTTTTAGAGATTAAATCATTAAGCTATAAATTTAAGAGCACAAAGTTTGATTTCTCTTAATTATTCTATAGGTTGCATTTACTATGCTTTAAAATACAGTCTTTCAATTAATTTAATCCTACACTCTGAATTTTAATATTTCAAATGCTTATGTGCCAGCACTTTTTGCATTAGAAAGTCACGAAGTGAAAATTTTAAAACCCTGCGATAATAAAAAACAAATAATTCAAAGTAACTTTATAGTTAATAAAAAGGATTATTATTATTTACTTGTCAGGGGAGAAAAAACTTCTAAGAATGTTATTGATTCTATCATGAGCAAATTAAATAATAAATTTAGGTTTTTGAATTATGGTGATGATGGTGATACTAACAGTATTACAGGCTATATATTCGAGTTATGTGGAAAGCATAAAAAAATATTTAGAATCTCAAATTATAATTCTAAAGATCATATTGAGCTTCATAATAATGGATATATCTTTATATACAAGCATAATACACATATTATCATGTCATGGAATACTATAACTTTAGAATTTGTTGCTCATTTGACTACAGAATGGGAGATTGCTTGTACAGATAACTTAGTTATAAATGATGAAGCAACTTTATTGGCTATTTGGTTCAATAAATTTATATATATATATTCGATTAAACTTCAGGTTATGATATCAATGCGTAAGCTAAATTTATTTTTATTATTTAATGACTGAAAAAAATGGGTTTTTAATTTTACTGTTAATAATATTTATTAGACAAAGTCGATTATGATATAACAAAGTGTTATTTTCTTTTATATGAAAGTAGAGAAAGTTTGCTTGTTACATATAAAATAAAAAAGGAAAATAATTTTGTTCTATTGGATCCTTACATTTTTACTGAAACGTATAATAAAGAAACAGAAGAAATACCCAAATATCCTTATACATGTATTTTCACTGAGAAACATCAGAAAGAAACAGAAAAAATATCCAAATTAGACTTAAAGAATCATATTTAATTAATTATAGTGTGGTTTTTTCTATTGATAATAGTAAATTGGAAGTTCAACAAGTTTCTGAATTTTGGAAGAATAAGCTTAATAATATAAATTTTAACTTAGTTGTAGAAGAAGTATCCGGTGAAATCAAGAAGGATGAATCTATTTTACATCAAGACAAATGGAGCATCAAAAGTAAACAAGATGATAAGATTTTATTATCTTATAATAATATTGATATTAAAATTAATATAAAATATACTGAAATCAAAAGCATTAAACTCTTAAGAAATAATGATTTATTAATGAAGATGAAGGATGATCTTAAGGATTGCTCAAAAAGAAATATATATATTTGGACTACAATTAATCTTAGAACAAAGCCAAAAATATGATTAAATTATTTCTGGAACAGTTCATCATCATTTGAAGAGAAATCTAAAACATATTTCCCTTATTTACCACCTTCAGAATTTGGCTGCGACACAAAAAATTGTAAAAAACATGATTTTAATGAATTGATGATTGAAGATTATAATAATTCACGTTTTAAATTAAGCCTTTATGGAGAATATCTAATGGAACATTTATTGGAAAAAGAAAATTTTGAATCTATTGAAAATCTATTAAAAAACATAATTGATTTTACTATTAAAAATAGTGATGAAAATTTCATTTCAAACCTTCCATTAATGAAAATTGTTACTTATAATTTTGAATCATTAAGCCAATATCCTGAGATTATTAATTGGTTTTTATCTAGAATAGCCTTTTTTGTATCTGATAATACATTATCTAAAATAATTGACACAAATTCTACTTCTAACCATCTTCAAAAATTTGGTAAATACCCTAATATTTCTAATATTTTTTAATTTCTATTTATATATTGCACATATTGAAGCTTTTGATAATAATTTTTAAAATAATTTTAACTCCGTATATATATCTTTTAAATGGAAAACTCTTTCAACTTATGAAAAAAAAATTTATTAAAAAAAAAACAACTGTTAAACTGGTTTTTCCTTTAATGAAACTTTTTAATTATCCTAGAATGTATGATATTAGAAAAGAATTAAATTCTGATTATAATATTTTAGCTAGAATTAAAAGATTTTATGAACTTCTTAATTTTTATTCAGCTACTCTATTGCAACCTCATGCTTTTTTTTTTTCATCAAAGACTATTTTATATAAATTATAGATTGGTGAAGCATTTATTGCTTATAAATGGAATACATATGGAAGAATTATTTATATAGTACACTTATCTATTCATGTTTTTTGTTTTCTTCTTTTTGTATTTACTGTGATTTTTTATGATCAAATTCCATCATTTATTCGATTATTTCAACTGAAAATTATCACTATAATTACATTAATATATTATTTTATAGATGCTTTTTATGCATTATTTACAAAAAGAATGAATAATCGACATTTTTGGGGTAAGTTCAAGAATTTAACAAAAAATAGTTTTGTGCAAAATTAACATCATTTACTATTTTTCAGTTGATACTTTGGCAACATTATTTATATCGAGCTCAGCAATTGGTATAATCGAACAAAATAATTTAGACCAATATTCAATCTGGTTTAATAATATTTATGGTATTTATGTTGATCTGGGTGCAACAGTTATTAGTGCGATTTTATTGTTTGAGTTAAAAATTTTGTTCAATTTTCACGTTTTTGAATTTTTCAGAATTGAATTTGCAATTATATTTGGTGTATTCAGTGAAGTGGTTCCTTTTTTGGTCACTCTTGGATTTTTTGTATTTATATTCGCAAGTTCTTTACATATCTTATTAAAACTTAATATTAATTCAGATGAATCAAATAATTTTTGGAATTTAACAGATTATATTATAATTCCATATAACATTTTGACCGGTAATTTATTTTTTTAAATGCTAGCTTAATAATTAATTTACATTAGTATTATCATCTTATTAGATTATATAACCTAAATTATTTGCTTTTTTATATAAAATAGGAAACTCAGATATAATTTCATCATATACAACATACAAAAAATATGCTCTAAGCAGGATTATTTTAATAACTTTATTAATTGTGATTTTATTTTTTATTACGATTTATATGATGAATTTGTTTATTGGAGTGCTTAACAATAAGATTAGTGATTTAAACAATAAAAGTTCTTTTTTATATAATAAAGCTGAGGTAAGTTTTTTTTTAAAATTTACAATTTAATATATTATTATTTAACATTTATTTATAATATATTTGAAGGCTTTATACAAAACTGAACTATATTATTTACTACCATGTCAGAGACAAAGAAAGGATTGGTTTCCAGAAATTATGTAAGTCAAATTTTATAATCAAAATTAAATAACTTAAATTTTTTTAACAATTTCTCTTTATATATAAGTTTTTTTGAAGCTCATTTAGATGAACTTCGTAAAGTGGTTAGACAAATTCAAAATAATACTTGGCCAGGTTTTTATAAACCATATCTCTCACCTGTTCTTTTGGAAGCAATTCAAATGGAATCAAAACTTGATCAAGATGATTAAAATAATCAAAATAATAATGAACATTAATATTTGTTTAGCTATATAAATATTATTATATATGTATCAGGAACGAAGTGATATGTAATATCACAAAGTTCAAAGTTATAAATATTTACTTTTATTTTATTCATGCTGCGTAACTTAGCATCAGGTATAATCATACTCATAATAACTTTTTAAAAATATGTCTATATAGTGGGTTTTTTATGTTTATAGTTGGTTTTAAAATAGAAAATAGAAGTACTTATAAAGAAAATTTTATAATGTGTTTATGGAATAAATATAAGGAATAGTTAGATTAGCAGCTACTTAAATTACAACTTTGATCAATCAGTTTTTACAAAAGATATTTTTAATTATGCCGCAGAAGGTGGCTCTTTGTTAAAATTTTATAGTAACAAATTGAGGAACTTCACATCTAATTTTAGGTCTAAGACCATAACAAATTTGAATTGCTTGTTTATCGTCATGTGGAATATCATAATATGGAGGATATCCAGTAAAAACTTCCGACATAATTATTTCGAAAGAATAAATATCTGATTTTTGAGTGTATTTCTTTCCATTTGTATACAATACCTCCGGAGCAATATAGGGAAGCACACCAAAAAGTGCTTTAGAACTTGAGTCTTGTGATACTGGACTACATAAGCCAAAATCAGTAATGTAAGAACTAAACATATTTTGATTAACTATATTTCCGGAACGCAAATCTCTATGCACTAATTTGGCTTCGTGAATTGTACTAAGCCCACTAGCTATGTAATATAAGTTTGCCACTTTAGAAGCCCAATCTAATTCACTATATTTACTATCTAACAATTTTCTGAGGCTTTCCTGCTTCGCGTACTCCATAACCATCATGTAGTTACCATCTTTTGGGTTCTTGGTTATTCCATAAATCGCAATTGCAGAATTGCCCCCATGCTTATGTTGATTTTTAACCTAAAATATTAATTAGATTAAATAAGATTACTACACTTTAATAATAATAAATTATAATGCTTACTTCTTCTAAAAATTCCTGTTTTATATCTTTAGAATTATCAAGTTCCTTTAAACAAACATCTATTTGTGCTTTTCGTTTCCATACATTCTTTTGATGATAATAATCAAATCCTGTAATATATCCGTCAATCCATATTGCCTTAAAAACGGTGCCAAAGCCTCCTTTAGCAAGATACTTTATATTTGTGAATTTGCTGTAGGGTATCCATTCAATAATGTCTTTAAATTTCACTGCATTAAGTTGTGTTTGTTGAATTAATTGATCAATGTTGTGATTGTCACTTGTCCAATTACGAAATTCTTCTTTAAACCTTAATATTAAAAATAACAAATATAATAATAATTGAGAGCTATAACTATCGATATTTCTAATTTGTTGTGAAAAATTCCGTTGTTGTCCACGAGGTGGACAATAAATTTGGTTATTGTCCACGAAGTGGACAATAACCATGAATCGATTCATGGTTATATTCGATAATAAATAGAATTTATCGTACTTGCTATATTGATACAAGTGATTTAGATAGAGTTTTATATTGGATTACTGTAAAAAATTCTGCTTTACTGTACTTACTCGCTACAGTGATACAAATGATTTAGATATGGTTATTTTAGTTTGGATTGGAATGAACGTGATTTCTATGGTGATTTACTGTAAAAAATTCTGGTTTACTGTACTTACTTACTACAGTGATACAATTGATTTAGATATGTTGTTAGTTTTGTATTGGAATGATCGTGATTTCTATAGTGATTCACTGTAAAAACTTCTTACATGCTATTGTGGTGAGATAAGCGATTTAGATATGGTTATGTTAGGAATGAACGTGATTTCTACAGTTATTCACTAAAAAATTCTTACATGCTATTGTGGTGATCCAAGTGATTTAGATATGGTTACGTTAGTTTTGTATTGGAATGATCGTGATTTCTGTAAAAAAATTCTGGTTTACCGTTACTTACTTACTACAGATTTAGATATGGTTATGTTAGTTTTTATTGGAATGATAGTGATTTCTATGGTGATTTAAAAAATTCTTACCGACTATTGTGGTGTTACAAGTGATTTAGATATTTACTGTAAAAAATTCTGGTTTACTGTACTTACTAACTACTGTGATACAAGTGATTTAGATATGGTTATGTTAGTTTTGGATTGGAATGATTGTGATTTCTATAGTGATTTACTGTAAAAAATTCTGATTTACTGTACTTACTTACTACAGTGATACAAGTGATTTAGATATGGTTATGTTAGTTTGTATTGGAATGATCGTGATTTCTATAGTGATTTACTGTAAAAAATTCTTACCGACTATTGTGGTGATACAAGTGATTTAGATATGGTTAT